GATTGATTGGTATGGTATGGGCTCCTACCCAGTGCAATACGGCGAAAATACAGCTTTGGCATTTGTCCTTGAGGACCGAAGGGTATCCCCCCATAATAGGACTTGAGGACCCAAGAGTGTGGGTGGGTGTGGAGTGTGGGGTGGGTGTGTGTGAGTGTGGGGTGTGGGTTTGTATGTGCGTGTGGGTGTGGGGTGTGGGTGTTCTCTTCCTTCTAAAGTGGACTATCGTATAAGTACTTCTAACCCTTCAGTCGAGGGTTGAGCGAGTCGCAGCGACGAGCGTTACTTGTATCATTATCATTATTCAAAATCAATTGATTTTGAATTATTATCGTTCAATGGTGGAGGTATCGATGATTGTTGTTGTTGAAATAATAATTGAGTATCATTACGATTATTTCGATTATTTGAACAATTTTGACTTAAACCAGTCATTGAGCTGGCTATTTGTTGAAGATTATCTATTGTATTCATAGCACCGATAGGCATTAGTTGTTCATCATATTGATTTGGTAATAATGGTGGTGGTAGTGAAGGATAGAATGGTGTTTGATGTGATGATGATAGTTGTTGATGTGTATGAAGCGGTCTGAAATTTGGAGGCAATAAAGATGAAAATCGACCGTATTGTTGTTGTTGTTGTTGATTAGATAATGGTAAAGAATAATTTGTTGAATGAAATAATTGTTGAGATATTGCCCGATCATCATCATCATGATATATTGAAGGACGACGAGTAAATATTTGAGGATATGATGCTTGAAATCCTTCATTTCTTTTATATAACTATGCAAAAATAATATAAAATTGTTGTTTTTTCATATTTATTTCTATTTTCTTTTAACGAACGCTAAAAGTGTCAGTTTAGGATCTGTCCGTAGGAATTCATAATATCTCAACACAAAAAACGAAGAAAAGATATATCCAGATAACAATACTTTTTGACATGTGTTTGCTTTTTGTTGAGAAGCGGGAGATATCTGTTAACTACATAATCAAATTGAAATCTCAAATGTATGTTGAATTTATTGATGTCATAACAACTGACAAAAGTCTAGTCTACCAAAACATCACTCAGTTAGGAACTAAAGTGGAGTAAATATTCGTCGGTGCATCCTATCAATTATCGATGAACTTCTCACTGAGATTGAGAAAATTCTATACTATAAAATGATGAGATTTTTTTTACATTTTGAGTTGATGAATGTTCAACAGGTGGAACATTTGATGCTGGATAATATTTTTCATATGCTAGTGAATTTTGAGTGCCATACGATGATACTGATGGAATATGTAGTGGTTGTTGTGATGGACTTTGATGGCATGGATCATCTTGTGGAGATTGACCAATCATTATTAGATGATCTTTTAAAAAGAACAAGAAAATATTTTCTATAGTAAAACAAAGACAAAAGATACTCATATATTCTTGTGATGGAAGACGTGGTGGTGGTTGTGATTGATTAATCGTATAATTGTCATCATTAACGAAGAATGAAGATGGATAATTAGGCATTGGTGGTGGTAGTGCCATAGTATTACTTTGTGATGAATCTAAATTAAAAAAAAAAGATATCAAATTCCGTAGTTGAGATATACAAAAAATGAATTACCAGAATTCAAAACTTGTTGAGGAAAATGATGTGGCGTTGGTCCATTCATATATGTGTATTGTGGTGGTTGAAGATTATATGTGCTATACATCATTTCACCAGGTCCTTGTATACGTTTTGATAATATATGTGGTAAATTGTTTGATGAATTATTTGGAGATGAAGTATGATAATAAGAATTAGTATCCTAAAAAGAGAGAGAAAACTTTTACGTTGTTTTTTGTAAACAAAAAAAACCATACTTTATTTCCAATATTCCATCTATTAACATTGTTTAATTTAATAAGAAGTTGATTAACTAATGAATGTAATAAATCATTTAATTTGTCCACAGTTACATTGATATCGATATCGATTTGGTATCTCAAATGTATTGAATCATTCTGAAATTCGAAAAAATTATTTTTTCATTATATTTCATGTAAAATATGTTGCTTACTTTGATAATGAAATATATTTGATTACTTCGTTTCATCGTGTATGTTTGAATAGATAAACCTTCAAATTCATAATCAACTTTGATTCACCGTTCATTCAGAGCAGATATCTTAAAGGCATTTTTTGAATTCTACAAAAGATAAAATATATTCATAGGCAAAACTATGATGTTTTTTTTCTTACTTTTCCATCAGCACTACAAAACAAATTTTTGTTCAGATATTTGTGCACGTAGTCAAAAATCCATTTGGATGCCTTCGTTTCTTGTCTTGAATTCATTTCTATCTGAAATCAAGAAATGAAAAGATTTTTGTTTAATATATAAAATAAAAAGTTCATTCTATTTAAATCATTGTTGAAGAAAAAAACAAAGAGATATTCATTATGAATTATTCACTAGTCCAATCTGACGTCATTCTCTCTCCTGTTCGAACAATGGCACGAGACATATAGATAAATATTCGATAGTTTTATGTGTGATTTATTCATTTCCTCATACTACGTAGAAATGAAATTCTTTCGTTTTTCTATTCTCGTCCATGTTTTATCTTTTAATTTCGTTTTATGTAAGGCAAGTCAACTACTGATTCGTGTTTTGTTTTTCACAACAATTTTTACTATCGCATGTGCCAACTAGAACATGTTGTGTATCAAATACCACATGACGAGCATTATCAAAAAGAATAAACATTCTATAAAGCGTAGAAAATAAACAATTGGCTGAATATCTTATTCGTTTTATCTACATTTCATCTGTTTAACTCGATGTAATAACAGATCGAACATAACACTAATAATTCTTCTCTGACTTAACATTAGATAAGAAAAAATAAAGCATAGTATGATGTTTTTTTAAAATTAATATTTCAAAACTAATCTGTTCAAAGAAGAATCGACAGAAAAATAAACAAACGAATCTAATTCTTACCAGCTGCGTTGATAAATTGGATTTCCTTCATTTGAAACGTTTTCTTGTAAACCTTCACGTAAAAATTGTTTCATTTGCGTTACTTCTTCTTCTCGTCGTTTCATATAACACACTCGTGTACTTGTTTCTTCAGTCTTTGAATAAAGAAAAAAACCAACTTATATATTGAATATTAATCATATGTTCATTTACTTCTTCTTTATAAGTATCGGCTTGTTTATGAGGTTCATCAACAAGAGCTGTCGCATGACAAAGACGTTTTTCAACAATATAAACAGTTCGACTAATCTTTTGTTTTTCTCTGTAAGAAAAAAAAGAAAAACATGCATTTTTGTTTGAAAAATCTCTTTGTGCACATACCGAACTTTCCTGTCAAGTTGTTCTTCAAGTGCTCTAAACATTGCTCAAGATTTTCTTTTACTAAATTCTTCATTTTCTTTAACACATTCGCTGCGATATGAATAGTGTTTGTTCATAATTCATGAAAACTTCCATTTCTTTATTCATGACAGGTGTAATACTTTAAAACGGTTTTTGTCAACGTTTCACTTATAGGTATAACCAATGAACACTCCTTTATCAGTAGTAAACGAAGCAGCTCCATTGGTCAAAATGTGGCAGAGATATTCAATGTTTTCTACGCTGAAGAAACTTTTGGGTCACTGTATAGTGTGACTCACCGGTGGGCCACATCACCGCGAATATGTTAAGTTCTTTACGTTAATCTCGATTTTGTCGATCAAGATTTTACTGACCTACGATGCATCAGTATCTGCACAAATGTCGAGGCCTGCTGTTTTCCAGCAGAAAGTGCTAGAAGTCAAACTTTTTTACTCACAGATATAGTAAACTTTGTACTTTAAAATGCATATTTACAATAGAATTCGAAGTGTAGTTTAAGCTGTTAAATTGAAATTTTTTTTAAACCACTAAAGCTTGCTTGCTACCAAGATAATTTTCTTCAGATTTTTGTTTTAACTTCCGTTATTTTGAAAAGAAATGAAACATGGTACGTTCAAACTGAAAATGGAATAACTACAGGCTCTAGGCTTTCTGCAAATGAATTTCCAACTTTTCTGTGCATCTAGGGTAACCAGAAATTAGTGTCAACAGCACAACTCAATGGATTGAACAGTTCTTAACGAAAATATTAAAAACCGCACGAGCAAAATATTGTGAAAGAGACTTCAAGCATGCAGCTTTTTGAACCCCACAAGAATACGTTTGAAACAGCAGAAAAAAATATTTTCATGGAATTTATAAATGAAGCAACACAAAATGTGCGGAAAATAGCATCTGGTGTCAATTTTGACCAAATTGGATATTTTAATATCTCGGAAGGAATGCATATGTCTGATTCCAATTTTTCACTTGAAAGCTTCATACAGTAGGTGATCAAAATTTATGTCTTATTTCAAAGCATTAAAACAGCACATAGTCGAGAGATAAAAAAATTCCTAACTTTGCTTTGATAACAAGCCAGTTTTGGTGATTTCGAAAAATTTGCAATTTAGCAGCTTAAACTACACTTCGAATTGTATTGTAAACATGCATTTTAAAGTACAGAGTTTACCATATCTGTGAGTAAAAAAGTTTGACTTCCAACACTTTCTGCTCGGATACGGATATGGGTGTGTGGATGTGCGTGTAGATCTTCTTTTTACTCACCACACATCAACATCCTAGGAAGACAGCAGCATTACGACTACTATGTGAAATTCTATACTGTCCATGTTCTGTTCTGGATGATTCCTTTTCATAAAGATAACGAGAATAAAGCTCTTCAACGAGCCTTCACAGATGCCCTATGTCGCGACTGCAAAGTCGCAAATTAAAGTCTGCGTGTCCCTATAAATCTAGGATGTTGAGTCTAAAAACCACCACGTATTCCTGTTTCGAGCTTGCTGATAAACATGCAACAATGATTTTTCCTGCGAGCTTCAAAAGAAACCTCTCATGTAAAGAACGAATTAGAACATCATATTTTATTGTGAAGAATTAGAGCGTACATGTATTCAGACCCTTTGAAGGGTATCTTGAGTTTTTGAGAGTCCAACTCCGAAATACCAACCCAATGTAATGGCTTACATGTTCTCCATCCAAGGTTACCTAGATAGAATCATCAAGGCAACATATAGTCAACACTTGAAATTTCTGACGTGGGATGGGTGTGGTGTGAAATAGAGGTGAAGAAAACATAACCCACACTCACACCCACACCCTAGGAATATGGCAAGTTCAAGTAGTTCGAACTACAGCTATTCCAAAAAGTATCGGGATACTTAAGGCAATCTGTTCTTTTCTTCAAAGTCGGTTTTGGTCCAATACATGTAGATTGCATGAAATTTTCAGGATATATTGCAGCTGTAGTAAAGAGGCTGTGATAAAATTTTCAACCCTATATCATGATGTTTGAGGAAGACATTGATCAAAAAAGGACTCACAATATCTTATTTGACAATTGAGTTTTTTGAGTTCTTAAACTTGTCATCCGTTTTTTCACTTGGAAAGTAAGAATTTAAAAAAAAGGACTCTGTCATGACCTGCATTCTGACATGCTCTTGAAGAACAAAAAAAAAGTAAATTAAATATATAGGATGAAAGCCCACAAAGAATTTCTGGTTGCCAAATAAGACATTGTTGCAGAGATGCAGAATCTTCCAAAAAATCAAAAATTTCTCCATGGTGTTTTTGTTGACATGGAAGCTCAGTTACTTGATATAGCTGCTAGTGATGTTAACAATTATTTCCGTGACTCTTCAGCAAGAATAGTTCTATAAAGAAAAAAAATCCTTGTGTCGCTGGTGGTGAACTTAAATCTGGCACGTCTTAGAATAAACGGTACTTCTATGACTTCATTTTAACTACCATAATAATGTAGAACTTTCTACTTCAACTTCACAAAATCATACTCTGTCTCGTAAGTATCTCAATATTCATATAGGAAATCAGATCTTCAGTTTTCGACAATTTCATGAAAATGTTTTCTTTCTAAATATTTCACATAAGTTTCTCTGAACTACCTCGTTTCATTAATTCAGTTGTTTCTTTATAAGTATTTAATGCTGGTTTTTATTGAGCATTATTAAGAACAGATAATGAATCATCAAATTGTATCATAACACGAGATACTATCATTGAACTATCTACGAGAATAAATCAAATTCAATTCTATTAATTTTACAAACAAAAAAAAAATTCAAAATAAAAAATTTGAAGATTCTTTGTCATTGAAATTCTCATCTGACATGAATTGACAATTGATGATTTCTATACATCACGAAGTTTTTCACATGTTCTAATTTCAATATTAACATCATCTAATCGCTATGTAAGTGATATATGTTATATGGAATACTATCACATTTTTGTGCTTACTAATTGAACTAGTAAATTTTTTAAATTTATCCAAAGAATTTATAGTAAAAAGAAAAAAAACGAAATTTTTTGTTTTTTGTTTTTTTTCTTTGATTGTTTTCTACTTTAATAAAAATTCGTCCATATGTTGCTTTTGGATTTCAAGCCATGATTAGCAATTCAGTAACATCTTCTAATAGTAGTTCATCAATGATAATTCATCTTCATCTTTTACTGCATTTAAATTAATTTGACTTGCTAAAAGATTTTTGACAAATATTCAAATGATTCAATAAAATATCACGAGATTTTAAAATTGTTTTTGTTTATTTTGATCTCTCAGGTTATAGTTATCTTGAAAACTACAGCGAGATTTTAAAATTGTTTTTGTTTATTTTGATCTATCAGGTTATAGTTATCTTGAAAAATATAAAAGTTATTTAACTATTGTGATTTTTATATTTGCATTCTATATATGTATTTAGATCAAATTCCAAAAAAAACTATATAATTGATTAGTTTATTGCATTAAAGAAAAAAAGAATACATTGAATTTTGACACACGAGAACAAAAAAAAATAATTCTTGATATAAAATAAGTTACAGTTAACATTATGTTGAGAATAATAAACCAAGTGCCGATCCACCACCAAAAGTCACGCAAAAAAAAAGAAAAATAAATCACCATATCATCAGTAAACATAGTCATCATTATTATCTTCAGTCGAGTTGTATTGTTACAAAGTCACAATAATTAGATGGCTGAGGAGTGTGGGTGTGGGTGTGTGGGTGGGATGTGGATGTGGATGTGGGTGTAAATGAATTAAATATCCACATTCGCACACCCACAGCCACAGCCACAGCTACAGCCACAGCCACAGCTACAGCCACATCCACACTAACACCCACTCACACCCACATCCTGGCTGCGACTGAAACTTCAGGAGGTGGATATGGCATTTTTGATTAATTTTTATTTTAACTTGTACTTCGTTATAAGGCTGCCAATGACGAAGCCAACAGCAGCAGCAGCAGCCATCTTTACTACTGTTTTAAATTCAAAATCTACAACAAAAGTAAACAGACATGATATACATTGTTATTAAATTACTTACGAAACTTTGATGGTGGAACTATTGGTGCAACAGCCATTGGTGGATGAATATCATCCGTCGTGATCTAAAATTAATGAATATAATTTTATTTAGAGGCGACGTTTAAGTATTATCTAATCAACTTTGAGTATCATACAGACGGATGAAGACCGTCATTTACTCAATTGGAAGCCTGTTGGTAGCATGTATATCTGGAGAGTAAGGAAGAAAAAAAATGAAAAGTGTGAACTATGTTTGGTATGGGAGTTTTGGAAATCTCATTATCCGATCGGAACAGGGTTCATATTTCTCAACAAAAAATATGTTACTTACATCGAAGACTCTTTCAGAAGATTTAACGCGACACATATTTATTTCGAAATTTCACAATGACGTATGTTAACCGAACGAGAACAAAAAATGACGGATAATTCAATATGACACAACATATATATACTATTGGATCAATGTTTCATCGCGGACGATTGAATTTCTTTTCTTCCTTACAATCTGAAAATGTGTAACATCCGACACATAGATAGAAGAGTGTTGTTAATTTTTTTCTTTGTTACAAACTGATGTGTGTGTAACAGTCAACAAATAGACAGAAGAATATTTGTTCATTTTTTTCTACTATGAAATACTGGCTCTTTCTCAAGTTTGAACAATGAAATAGCGAATAAAGGAAATTATTGCTATCTTCAGTAAGCAAGACTCATGTTATAAGTGTGTCAGAACTACAATTCTCACATTATTCGTATTAAAAATATAACTTAAATGAAAATCTCTTTTTTTTTAATGAAAACTTATCTACAGTAGATATAAGTATCGATATATTGTTAATTACATATTGAAAAATAAACAATCACAAAAAAGAAAAACAAAACAAATCAATGAAATAAAACTTTAATTATTCGATGTCTTTGTAAATGTTTAAGTCGTTTATATAGTTGATGTTTTGTTTTTCGTAGTAATTTTTCTATAAAACCTAATTCCATTTTTAATTTATCTTGTTTTATTTGATTTGTTTGCTTGTCATTATCATCATTATTTATATAAATATAAACCATCATATGTTCATTAGTAGCATGTCGCATTGCGAAACCTTTATTATGTAAATCTTCAATTAATTCATTCGTTGTTGATATATTTTCCAGAAGAGTTAATGGAGTTATTCGATCATGTGAATGATTATCCAAACGAGATTTACCATACAATAGACAGATTTTATCTGTATTAATATTTCCTGATTTTTTATATTTGATATAAGGTACCTAAAAAGGACAACACAAATCGTTTAGTTTATTTGTTAAAGTTTATATTGTGAGAAATAAATCATTTTGAATTAATTGAAAATGATGGAAGATCAGGGAACCTTTAAAATGTTAAGTATCTGTTCGTATTTGTATATTTTGAACAGAAAAAACAATTGATAATGTCTAATATGTCTTCTAAACTATGAGAGTCAATATGACAAGAAGATATTTTAGAATAATTAATTTTTAATAGATTTTCATTTCATTAAAATCTGACATCTTTCATTTGAATAGAGATCGAATTTCGTTATAAGGTAGCAACGAACAATATTTTTTTGCCGTCCTTTGTTTCGAAATCATTTGAAAGCTAATAAAAATATCCAGGGAGAAATTATGTAATAACAGGAATATGATGAAAGAATTTTTTGATTTAAATTAATATCAGTTGATAATATTTTTGTTTTTGTCCAGTTTGTTTATCATCAACTGAATCTCGTATATGTACGTCATTTCGTTTACCATCATCTTTAACAACTGAACCTGAATAACTAGATGAACGTTTATTATCTGATCGTAACAAATTTCCATCAATTAATGTTTTAGAACGAAAATCATCATCACGTAAACGACCAAGATGTGTATGATCAAATTTAATTTCAAGTTGATCTAAGACTTTAACATCTAATTTAGCTGTTCCTTGACCCCACTTAATATCAAATGCATCTTTTCTTCTACTACCAGTATTGCTTGTTCGAATTGTTATTATCATCTATATAAGAACGATAATATTTACCAGTTGGTGAACATATTTTAGCATTAATATCGGATATAATTGTTTGTTTTCCATTCTTTCTTTCTGTATGTCCAGTAAGTAAATTATCATTAAAACCAATATCCATTTCATATTTATAATATTCATTACCTGATGTATTGAAAATACTACGTACAGTAACTTGATGTTGTTTAAATAATGCATAAAGAGAATTTTGAAATTCTTGTCCATAATAATTTGAATTTGTAAAAACATTTACTTGACTTATTGATTGAGGATTATATTGAGCTGTAAGTGATGTACTTAATGCAATATCATCACGAACACGTAATGTTTTACTAACATGAAGTGTTGTATTAAGTAAACCACCGGATGAAAAGTAAAAACTAGTTGGTGCAATTTTCTAGAAAAACAAAAAAAATCATAAATTTAATAAAAAAATTTTTTGTTTTGTCGTACTGATGAAGCAAGTTTAAAACCAAGGGATGCATCAATTGTTTGATCATCATCTTTATGAAGCAAAGATAAGTTGTAGAAGAAATAAAGTACTGTTAAATTTGATAATGGATTACCAAATTCAACATGAACACCAAATTGTTGTAGCCATTTCATTTTTCCAATATGATTTTCTCTATCAATTGTTAATTCTCTAATAGTACTTAATGGATTTCCAGATAATTGTAGAATTTCTAATGATAAAATAACTTTACGTGTTTTATTTGAAAAAGATAATCAATTGAATATTTATGTAATATGTCAGTATTTCGTTTTAATATACCAAATGAATGTAATGTTGATCAACGATGTATATCAATTTTTGATATACCATGTAAATGATCACCGTTACCACGTAAATATTCTAATTCATTATCAATACGTACTAATGGTGATTGATTTTCTTTTCAACGATCAATATTAAGATGAGTATAATGAAAAAGTACTGGTTGAGCAAGTAATTGTGATGACATATGATTAAGATGTCCTTATTTTGAATCTTGTTCTAATACTAAATCATGTGTTATATATGATAAATATTTCAATGGTAATGAAAGTGTAACATGTGTTTGTAATGAAACATCAACCAGTTATATTATGATCAATAATAAGATTTCTATTTATTTCTTTTAATGCATTATCAATACGATAAGTAATTGAATTATATGTTGATAATATTCCTGATTGTTTTGTTACGTTACCATTAAGATCAATTAATTGAAATAATTCATGTTTAGATGCTTTAAGTATTACATTATAAAAACCAATAAATGATTTAGGTGAATCTGTGTTTGGTTGACGATCAAAACGAACAAATAAATCAACTTCAATATCATTTTTATCTTGAACAAGAATTGTATCAATATCCCAATGTGTTGTTAATGAATGTGATTTCGTACAAATAAAAAAATTTCTTTTTGATGTTGTTTTCTTTTTTTCTTATTATCCCATTGTAATTCTGATGTACTTTTACCAGAAAATAAATGATTATCAACTACTTTATTAACTTGACTATTATATGTCAATGAAGCTGAATGTTGACGACGATGAAGATCATATTGAAATTTATAATTAATTTTATTAAGTAATTCAAAATCAAGATTAGATAAAGCATCAAAAGCAAATGGACATGGAATATCAGCAAGTAATTTATCAGTATCAGCAATAATATGAATATTATTTTCTATATCAAGCGTTGATGGTAATGTTTCAATTCTTAGAGAGAAGAAGAAAGGTATACTTGGATATAAAAAGACCTAATTAGATATTTTCCTACAGCTATTACTAACTGTAGCTATGGACAACAGGCTGATCTTATTCAGAATTCTTCCGCTCAATCAGTTGAGCTTCCTGTACACGCTAATTAATCGCAAGAATCAGTGTATGTAACAATGTAGCCACTATGCTATCGTATGAATGATCCAGGAGAAACAGTCATTAGTAACTTGTTCAGGCTCATTTCATGTCTAATACTACCTAGACTTGAACAAAATACCTCGGTAGTATATACTAAATAACTTAACTACTCAACCATAACGATTTGATTGTACAAAAAGCGATTGGAATTGTTAGAAACTGAGTTGACTCTCTCGTCGAAGAATTCATACTTGTGAAAAATACCTGTTAAACGAGCTCGCATTTCAATTCAGAAGATAAAAGGAAAACTAAATAGATCGAAGAGTTATAGGAAATCCAATCATACTTATGCTTACTATCGAGCAGAGATGAAACCGATAAAGGCAACCGATTTCCATTTTTGCTATTGAGTTTGATCAATAGAGATAATTAATAGAAAGCATTGAAACTAAAGCTAGAAATAACTAATTATTCTATTCGACTCCAGTTTTATTCAGTTTTATTCATCACGATATTTTTAATTATGAGAAGGAAACAGAATAAGTTATCAGTCTTTCTAATGTTTCAGTCAATTATTTCAGCTTCGTTTATATACTAATTAACTTCAAACAAACCACAAAGGCTAATGTATCTCATGATCTGCTAAACGCGCATAATTTGAGACAAGTAACCGTCAATTACTTATTCCAGATTTTGACATAGCGATAATGTATAAAACGGAAGTTCTTATCTTCTACTTATCCCGCCCGTACAGATTCTTATAAACTGATCACTTTTTCTAGCCATTGTAGAAACTCTATCACTCTTCAATTAAACAAAAAATATTGCTCGTTGGATCAAACCTTTTTTTGATGCTTCTGAACTTCGTCAATGATTATGATCAATAAGAAAATTGAATACATCTCATTTTGATTTAACTTGTATTTTTAAACTTGCTTCCGATGATATTAATCGTCTTGCTTAATTAGCTGTTTTAATAGAAGGTCGAACATAATCAAGTTCAATTCTTTCTTATATTGGTAGATTATATGTTAATATTAAGAAATGAAGTGAACTATGAAGTGTTGCATTAGCTAAATCACGTGTTCGAGTAAAATCTTTTTTCATATCAAATAGTTTTAATGGTTCATAATGAATTAATATTCGTAATGTTAAATGTGATATAATATTGTAATTATTTTGATCATTTCCTTTATTATTTTTACGTTCACAAACAAAATCATAACCAATTTGAGATGAACTTTTAACCAATATCATTGAACAACGTAATTCAATACATGTATGATTATCATTACGTTCTAAATACTCTTTACCACTATATGTTGTATCACCAAGATGATAATTTCCATTATTATGAAAAACTTTTCCATTTGATTTATAGAAATTTCCACGAACCAAATACAAAATAAGAAAAGATAAGAAAAAAAAGTTTCCAACGAATTTTAAATGATCTTGCTTTACCTGATGTTGTTAAACCAATATCAGCTGTAAGACCTTCACCACGATTTGATCAAATTTCTCTTGTTAATCTTCCAACTTCTTTATTATTTGAACTATCAACAAGTTTACTTTCCAATTTAAAACGAGCATTATTAATAATTAATGTAGCAAATATTTTCATTACTTCTTTATTATCATTTGAATATATTTTACCATCAAATTTATCACCTGTTTGTGTATTGGGTGTGAGTGTGGGTGTGGCTGGGTGTGGGTGTGGGTGGGTGTGGGTAGGTGTGGGTGTGGGTGTGGGTGGGTGTGGGTAGGTGTGGGTGTGGGTGGGTGGGATGTGGATGTGGGTGTAAATGAATTAAATATCCACATCCGCACACCCACAGCCACAGCTACAGCCACATCCACACTAACACCCACCCACACCCACACCCACACCCACACCCACTCACACCCACACCCTTATTATATTGGTCGTATACGTTTAATTGATATTGATCAATTATATTCATATAATTATGAATTTTATCTTCATCATCAAACTACAACACAAATTTCAATTGATCATATAACTGGTTCAATTATATTATATGATAAACTTGATAGAGAATATCATGGATCAAAATTAGAATATAATATAATAGCAATTGATTATAATAATAAAGAAAATAATTTAACAAATAAATTAATCATTTCTATAAATGATATAAATGATCATGGACCAAAATTTGATCAAGATTAATATTCAATAAATATAAGTAAATCAATTCGTCCTGATACAATTATATTTCAAATAAATGCAACAAGTAAAGATCTAATTGAAAATGGAAATATAACATATGATTTAATAAATTCATCAGATTATTTTTTTATTAATCAACAAACAGGTATTATACGTTTAAAAAAATATCTTTCATCAACAATTACAAATTTTACATTAATTATAAAAGCATTTGAAAATGATATTAATTTAACTGATTATACAAATTTATTTATAACAATTATTAATGATGATAATATGTACTTTAATATTAATAATAATAATAATAATTGTTTTATTGAAGAAAATAAAATAATTGATACAAATATTTGTACAATTGGTTTTAATTCAAATGATTTTATTTATAAATTAATTGATCATATGAATTGTTTTGCTATATATGAAAATAATGGTACAATTATTAATAAAAAAATATTTGATTATGAAATTGATCAACATGAATATAATGTTACAATTATTGTTAAAGATCGAGAAAATCAGGTAGAATGATTTTCATTTTTTTTTAAAATTCTTTTGAAATAATAATAACAGACAAAAAAAAAGATATTTATGAATTTAATTTTAATCAGTAGATCAGAGCAAGATTGATCGCCTCTCTCGAAAAAAACAAACAAACATTTAAATACCTGAAGAAGAGGAGTTTCAGATTGAATAGTATTCACATATAGTATATAGCCTTATCACATGCAAAATCATCAATCTTCCCTCCCCGGCCTGAATAGAATTCAGATTTTCTCTTCCGGAAGGGTGGTACCTCCACGCTGGATCAAATATTGACCTGATACAAATTTCAAAATATTTTAGAATAATCAAAGCGACGTATTTCGTAGATTAAGCATTATTGTTTCGATCAATCTATAGTAAAACCTCTATATTATTTTGAACAGTGGTTACTAATTTCTGGGTCCATGAATATCCGTAATGTAAGCAACGTATATTCTATCACTCGCATACAGAATGAGAAAAAAAATATGATGTGTATAAGACAGAGGATGGACTAGTTGTGAACATATAAAAGAAAAACAAACTAATATTAGACAAAAGCACTAGCGCTTGGTGTAACATCTTGTTGGTTTGGTGTCAACACGAGTTGATTTACTTCTGATTAAAAAGATAAGTTGAATTAATTAATTGTTGGAAAGAAGAAAAAAAAATCACCTTAGGCAGCCGAAAAGTGATTGGAACTGAATGCTTATAGATTGAAAAAAAAAAGAAAGCTAAAAATCTCCCAATAATGAGCAGTTTAGGCCGGTTCCGACTTCCTCAAACAGGAAACTCGAACTTGAGTATTTCGACAAATCTTCTATAGAGATCCCGAAAACCTTTAGTCAATTTCTATAAAATTCAACTATTTTCTCAAAATGGCTTGTCCGATCGGAATCAATCCAAGACCACTATAGTTGTATCCTGCATTCACTGCCCTCATCAGACAGTGCAAAAGTGTACGTAAGACCGGTACATCGTTACCCTTGCATCACTATATTGAATATAGGAAATTACCATCTCATGAAATATCTTAATCGATGATTTAAAAATCAAATTCTGTTTTTATAATAAAAAAAAACATTTTTTTTTCTGTTTCATTCTAGTCTATTATATTATCTTCACTTAATCTAACAATTTATATTGATAATATTAATGATGATTATCCAGAATTTTTAACTAAAAACTTTACAACAGTTCTTTATTTATTTTATCTATCAATAAATACAATTATTCATACAATGGAAATTATTAATAACGATCAATTAAATTTAAATTTTGAAATTCTTAATGATACATATTCATCATATAAACTTCAATCATCATTAAAAAATTTTACTGAAATTATTCTGATTAATTCTATAATTACTGATCATGAAGATAATCTTATTATTCGTCTATCGAATAATAATAATAATAATAATAATACATATCTATCATCTTATTATATTGATTTATATATTCATTTAATATAGGTTCAACGTTCTATTGATTATCCGACAATAATTCAACAAACAACTGATGGTTATATAAATTTTGAGGAAAAAATTTTCCTATGATTAATTTTGGTCAGTTATTTATACAAAAACAATCTGAATATAAATTTATTTATTTTAATTTAAAATCGAATGAATATTTATTTATTTATTTAATTTTTTTCTCTTAAACAATTATCAAGTAATCATATTGAATTATATTATAATTCATCATTACAATCATATTCTAAACAACAATAACAAAAATATCGTTTATTACAATATCGTTTTTTCTTTTCATTATAAATTCCTTGGATACATATAAAAAATTTACCAATTCAATCATTAGTTTATTGCATTCAAGAAAAAAAAGGACATTCAAGTGAGATAAAAAAAAAGAAAATAATTGATACAAAAAAAAGACCTAACATTATGTGAAAATAATATCCAGTTGGAATTTCATTCAAGAAAAAAACACAACATTCAATTGAGATAAAAAAAAAAAAGAAAATAATTGATACAAAAAAAAAAGGCCCAACATTATGTGAAAATAATGTCCAGCTAGAATTTCATTCACGAAAAAAAAAGAACATTCAATTGAGGTAAAAAAAGAACATTCAATTGAGATAAAAAAAAGAACATTCAATTGAGACAAAAAGAAAAGAACATTCAATTGAGACAAAAAGAAAAGAAAACAATTGATACAAAGAAAAGACCTACATTATGTGAAAATACCCAGGTCCAATAAAACGGCGTCTTAAACGGCCTGAAACGGCTATAAAACGGCGATTAACGATGTAAAACGTCGATAAACGGCACCGTAATCCGTCATACCAGATTACGGAAGCAAAACAGGAAAAAAACGACCGCCGTTTTCTAGCGATAGACGGTGGTCGTAATACGGTATGACGGATTACGGCGAAATAAGGCCAAAATTACTGCAGTAATTCGCCGTTTTATAGTCGTTTCAGGCCGGATACGACGCCGTTTCCGACGGCGGGAATGATCCACCTGGGTAATAAGTCCAGCTGGAATTTCATTGTGTCTAGTTCAGGTACGTTCATCAGTATTTCATGAATTATTTGAATTTGTATTTGTTGAACATATATCCAAGAAGAAAACTAACAGCTGCGATAATTGCTACCGTTTTTATACCAAAAACTTCTGAAACAAAAGTAATCAGACATGATATACATTTTTTAGTAAATTACTTACGTAAACTTGATGGTGGACCTGCCATTGGTTCATCACTTGTTGGTGGATCTGCCACTGGTTCATCACTTGTTGGTGGACCTGCCACTGGTTCATTAAGTATTGGTGGACCTGCCACTGGCTCATCATATGCTCCAAGCTAAAATTAACCAGAGTATAGTTTTATTTAGTCATAAAGGTCTTACCGATTTATTATATAGAAAGTTTTCCTATGCATTTTTTTTTCATTTTGGAAAGAGAATAATGTTCTAGATTATATTTATACAGAAGGTACTTACATATTGATCTCTTTTTGCTTTGGCTGCAAGTAATTTTTTCGACATCTAAAAAAAAAAAGACATAGGTAATGTGAATAAATAGAAGTGATCAATAACGCATGTGAAATGCAGCTTTTATAGCACATTTTTTTTCTTTCTGTCGTCATCGATTCTCGCAGACGAAACGAAATATTGTTTTTCACTATCGTCTAGATTATTCGTTCATTTTTCTCTTATGGAGACACAAGTACAAATCGAATGATACCCTCGATATCATTATGTTATTTCGAGAAACACAAAGACATATAGAAGAAACATTCTTTAATACTATCTTGAGCGTAGCCGACGAAACTAGATATTGAAGATTACATCACTATTGTTTCGTATATTCACACATGGTCACAATAGGGCACTTTTGTTTTTCTCTACGACAAGCGAACAAATACTTTCATGTATTCACTTCGCCTATTGTTGAGGCATATATGAAATCAATATTAACAAAAGAAAGATAAAAAATAAAAGAGATTTTCTATTTTGTCAATGTAATCCATTTCACGTGCTGCCATCTTCGAAGTTCACGCATGTCGTATTAGAATGAAGAAAATATCAACAAATTATAAAATTCATTATCAAATGACAGAATTTCAATCTAAGACTTTCGTCTAATAACGATTAGAATATTCTTACAGTCATTAGGCCTATCTATAGTTATTCAGTATTCCTGAGAGTATCTAACAATGGATATTACAAATCCAGTAAATTGATTATAGCTCAGCGTCAAAAGTCAATGAAGACGAACTCTTTTAGACTTTTGCTATTCTCATGAAGATCTGCCTATGGGTTCAATATGAACTCAAACGGCAGGTATCAGTTGGAGTAGTTCTCTCGTTAGTACAGTACATAACTAAAGTAATGATGTAAAAAAGAAAACAAGCTTTATATCTAATTTACTCAGTAAGAAAAAGCAAATAATAATCAATAAACAAATAGAGAACAAGGGAAAAAAGCAATCTATGTATCATCCATTTAGGATGATTCATCAAACAAAAGTACAACATTAGAAAAACACATCATCATAAGAATCTTGATTTACTATTTTTCAAAATCCTAAATAACCACAAGACTTATCAAAACTATCATGCTTATCTGCATCATCATGAACATTAGTATGATTTGAAGAAAACTAAATTGAATATTGTAGTTTTTAATTTTTTTCTGCAACTATCACATCAGTATTGAAAGCGAATTGATGTAAATCTGAAAAGAAAACAAACATCACGAAGTCAAACAAAAGATACCATTTAACGAACAATAGAAAAAATAAAAAATTGAACATAATTTTTCAGTTAAAAATACATTTTAAATTTCACTTGCTATTTTGCTTCTGATATGTACACTTGTCATTAGAAACATAATGACTGACTGAAAAAAGCGTAACTTCGATTGAATATCTCAAAATATCATTGACATTTCTGTTCTTTCCATTGATTGATGACACTCGATTAATTCTATATGAAATGAGACAGCGTATAAAATGAAAGATTTTTCATTAATCGAAATGCTTAATTAAGATATTTTCTCTGCTAAACGTTCAATAGAGATGTGTTTTGTCCATATAAATACTACAAGTGAGTCTAATGACGTTACAAACAGGTAGCTTACAAAATGGTCGAGTTTACAAAAAAAAAAAGAACGCTACGTAGACAGTTTTCAAATCAACTAGATGACATGAAGATAGAATAATACCCAGTTAGGAATCGATGTGTGCATGCGAATGAAAAGAAGATCCACATCGATCGAAATTTCATTAACTGTTTTTATTTTAGTGTTTAATGTAGAACAAAATCATTCGATTTCAAAATCTCTATTAAAGAACACACTTTTTTATCATTAGTAGTTGTATTCGTTTTGTAGAGAGACTAGAGAATGGAAAATAGAATGTGATGCGATTGGCGTGTATAAAGATAGTAAGTATTTACATCTTGAATTCATTAATCATCTATCATGATATGTCCACGATGCATTCAGATCAATGATGTTCTTTCCAATTTTTAATGAAAATTACCAATAACAAAACAAAAATAAAATAAAAACTTAGATAATGATATATATCCATACGGTATTGTTGCTGTTCGAATATTGATATCCTTCAAAGGGAAATCAATGAATTTCCAAAATCCTTCATGTATAGATTGGACAGAAAATAATATGGTATATACTATACAATTATCATTGAGAACATTCTAAAGCTGAACTCATTAAAACATTACTCAAATTCTTCTATTTTATATTGACTTTTCTAAAGTAATTGATCAAGTATTTTCTTTTGTTAGCACATTTGTGATCTATGTTCTCTAACAGACATACTTTTATTGAATAATGACGATTTTCATAATGTAGAAGACTGTATGATAAAGCCTAAGTTCGAAGCAGTGAACAATTTATGAAGATAAAATCTCTATTAGTCTGGTTTTCGAAGATGGTTCACAGTTTATCGTTAGTGGAAAACTAAACTCATTTCCTATATTGTTCTTGTTGCATACTTCAGTATTCAACGATCCTTTCAGCTTTCAAATACAATTTAGAAAAAAACTACACATTTTTTTTTTGTAGTTATTTCTCCACAAAGAAATTCACTGTAGATTTTTCATGCACTACTGTGGGTAAGAGAGTCCATCAGATAGGAAACTCAACGTTCATATATAGTCTCGAATCAATATGTTCTAAAAAGTTTTAAATCTTCAAATTATCTCATGATATTCTTATACATCGTGAGATTGAAAAGACAAGATTCAATATTGTCAAGCATTTTTATTATTTTTCTTCTATACTTTCTGTCAATATTGTTTGGAAATCTGTGAGTATTAGTTTAGTTGAAGTGGTCAAATGTGGATGTGAGTCTAGAGTATAGATATATCTCAACCTATACCCACCTACACTTTGCGAGGTCCTAGGTACTAATCAGACGATTGTCGCCTATGCTTACACTCAACAGTTGCAACATTTGTATGAAGCTCTATTTCAAAAGCAATCAATTTTAGCAAATCGAAAAGGTATCATTCTTCTGCATGATAACGGAGAAACTACACGTTGAAAAGTCGAGTCAGTACAAAAGTATAAAGTTGCTACAAGATGTTCGTAACCATATATATGCGACAACCATATGAACACTTTGATGAACTCAAATCTGACGTTACTAACTTTTTCAAATTACTATCAGCTAATTTTCTACAAATGTGAAATCGAATAATTTCCAACAAGATGAATAAATATTATCGAAAAGAATAATGATCACACCATTGGTTGATATTACATATCTTCGAATTCAACACACTATATATTTATTTATTTAAACAAAATTGATTTTTTTTCACATACTATTACAAAACACATATGACAATTTTGTCTTATATTTTATTCTATTTTTGCTTTAATTTAATACTTTATCTTTTTGTCTTTCAAATTACTAAGTCATAATTTATTCTTGCATGAGGAAAATATTGTTGTAAAGAATCTGAACATAATGGTTCACCACTTAATTCTAATTCATTTATTTTAGTACAATTAATTCTTGTAGCATCTCTTGTAAAATTTTGTGTTATTCGTTGTAAAGATTCACATTTAATACGAAGAAAAACATCTTGAAAATATATTTTAGTATCAAAAAGAAATTCTTCTATATAATCATCATGAACATCGAGAAGATCAAGTTCATTAAGAAAAGAATATTTAATAATAGATGAATAACAATTAACGTTGTTTGATTCATAAGATTGTTTTCGATTTTGTGGTTTATTATTAGTCACCGTTAAATCTTCTATACATGGAAATGATTGAACAATTCTAAGAAAAAAATCATGTTCAAAAGGATATTCATCACGTAATGACACTACACAAACATAATTGTATAATCCACCTGGAAAATTATTTGTAATATCAACGTAATATGGCATTAAAAATGGATATGAATAAATATGACATCGACCGTATTTTGTCTCGGGAAAATAATCAACATAAGAAATAATTTCACTATATTGAAAATCCATAAATATACGTTGAATATCTTCAGTTGATGGCAGATTTAATTTATTACCAGTATATATCAATGAACGAATATAAAATATAAATTGATTTAAGTTTGGTACACGATAAATAATGTTTTTCTTCAAATGATTTCCATCAATAAATGTATCATTAAAAAATATCACAAGATACAACCTGAGTTTTTCTAGATTTGACATTCGATAGAGAAGTGGTAAGATTACTTTATAGTAATCAAATGTTTCTTGATTACAAGATAAATGAAAATATTTTAGATTTGATAAATCTCCCTGAAAAAAAACAAGTTTTTTTCTTTTGTTATTCAATAACATACAAATTTTTCTTGTAAAACTCACTTGATTTTGGATCTTATTTGAACGCTGAATATGAGTCAAATCAACATAAAGTGTGTGAAGTTGATTAAAACGACCATCAAGAAGATAAAGACAATCATTAAAAGATTCTAGTCTAACATTTAATCTTAAAAGAGTTGAAGAACGAAATGTATGAGAAGGTGGATCAGCAAAATATAATGGAACACGATTTTTAAACGATGATTCATAAAATATCAAATGAATTAGATTGGTGAAAACAGTGAAAATATAATCAAATATGTTTGTTGCTGACAATAACATTTCTTCATAATCATCATTGTTATTATTATCAATGGTAAGAATAAGTGTTGTAATCTGATCTTTGAAAATACCAGATGAAAGAATTTCATCTAAATATATATATATACATACAATATTAGTATAAAAAAACTTAGGAAGATAATATCAATATATTCATATGGTTCAGTCAGCTATATGAATAAGTTTGATAAATCTTTTTGATTTATTTAGAAAAATAATTCATTTTTAATTTCTTACCAGTAAAAAGACATTGAGCTGATTCTTGATTAATATTGTAAAGACCAAGAGTATGTAAATTAGGATAATGAGCAGCATGTAAAATATATTTCATAGATGATGATTCAAGATCAAGCCATTTGATTTTATCATGAATTTCAGGTAAAATTTGTAAACAAAATCGATTAAGTACCATATTACAATGAAATACATCGATAAAATTATGTAATAACCGTTTAACAAAAGTTAAACGACTTGTAAAAATTGGATCGTAAATAATATGATTTAGTCGTTGATTGACACCTTGTAAAGAATAAAGTACATCTAGATTATTGAGTTTTTTGAAAATAATGATAAGAATTTCATCAGGTAAATCATTTAATCCAATGCATGAATATTCCATGTTTATTTTTCACTAGTCTATTATTCTCAATTTATGAATGTCAATATTTAAAGGCATGTATTCATCCATCCTATTTGACTCATATCGTCAATACAAACAATAGTACAATTTTTCTCTAGTCAAAATTGATAATGAATTGAAAGAATGAATATTGTTATTTGTTTTTTTCTCATTGGTCTAATATATCATAAAATAATAAATGATATTCTTTATTTATTGATTGATTTTATATTACACCAGATTACTCGTAGGATTCAGTTAATATTTAGTTAAAAACAAGTTCTCTGATCATTTTAGTAAAATGAATCTCAACGTTTAAGGATAAATTCTAGAACATATAATTGATTTGAAATTTCGTATTCAGCTACAAGAGAATTTTTTCCATTATATATTCGTATTCTAGCGCTTTATTAATGACAACTAAATTGGTTCTTTTATTGCAAAACTTCCCAGAAAAATTCTACAGCCTCATAAAAGATCTAGAAAAGGTATCGTTTACCTTTCAAAAAAATCCTATTTATATTGACTAGCGTTTTTTAAAATCAAATGCATCAAGTAGAAATTGATGACTTTTTTTAGGTCGTACTACTAATTTTAGTTTTTGTTTTTTAGTAGCAACTTCATTCAACAAAAGTCTTGAAGACTGAATTTTTCAGATCATGTAGAATATTTTAAGATATATATATATATATATATAATTTAGCGTTCATGACCGAGAAATATATAAATTATTAGTTTGCCAAGCTACATTGGTAACACTAATAATTTATGCACATATATATGATGAAATATTGTCATATTATATGTCGAGATCATTATTGAGATTTAATAGATGTATGTCTTTGTGTTAGTTTCTTGGATATTCTAAACACTCTTATTCTATTGTTACACACATTCCTTGTTGTTATTCTATGTCAGACGAAAGGGTTACAAAATCGGTCAAACATTGAGTTTACAGATCTTCGTCTCATTTTTATTCTCACTAAATATGACCGAACATATTTATATCTTTGTAGATATAATACAAATGATGGAGTCATGTTCTAAATCTAGATGGGCCTTTATCGCAGAGTTATGATTGGTTCAATAAAGTTTTGATCTAAAATGTTGTCTATAGATGGATCTAATGACTGTTAGAATATTTTGACAGTTTCAGTCGAAAAGAATGTTCCTTTGTGAATATATTGAATTTCTAAAAATAGGTTTTTGTCGCAAAGATCGAGTTCATTTGAGAATTGAATAGGTCAATGAAGATACACTGTTTTCATCTGAAATATGCAGGATATTCTAAGAGTCATTAGATCATCTACAGGCAAAATTTTCAATCAACACTTCATTATTAGGTCTTTCAGAGAGTTTCTAAAAATGGATCGAAAAAGCCGGTAAATCCGTCATAAGTCGGCGTCAAAGGAGAGAAGACTTTTGCTATTCTCATTGAGATTTACGTCTCTGTTCAATATGAACTCAAACAGTGAGTGTCAATTGGGATAGTTTCCTCGTTAATATAGGATACAAATAATGA